CTTCCTTTTCTTCTTCTTCTTCTTCTTCTTCTTCTTCTTCTTCTTCTTCTTCTTCTTCTTCTTCTTCTTCTTCTTCTTCTTCTTCTTCTTGGAAGCGGGATGAATTCCACAATCTTCTGGATTCTAGGCAATTGCTCTGCCACTGAGCTACATCCTTAGTCGCCATAAGATTAATTCTTAACCAGGTCATTCAGCTGATTTCCCTAAAATTTCCCTTTTATTTGGCCTGAGTGACACAGGAAGTTTGCTAATAATTTGGGTAAGTTTTCCAAAAAGGTCTCTTGGAAGACCAGAAGAGGGCACAGAGCTCCTGGCGTGTGAAAGCTTTCTGATTCCTACAAGATCTCCACACAGTATCTCCCCAAGTCTGTCCTTCACCCACTGCACGCTTCCCAGGGCCCTGAGGGAGTCTGAAACTAGAGCCAGTGAGTCAGGTCCTCTCACCTCCACCACAAAGAACTGCCTCCACGTGTTCGTTCAGCCTCTGTGAAATGGGCAGATTCCTTTTCCCTTGATGTACCCCGCTGTACCACCTAATATAAAAGATGTGAATGTACACAGGAACGCTGGAGATACTTAGAAAGATAAGAACCTAGCAGGAGATAGAGCAAAGTTGGTAGAAAGCTTGCCTAGCATGCACAAAGTCCTGGGTCTGATGCTCAGTAGCCCGTAAACTGTGTATGGTGGCACATCCCAGACGAAAGAGATATAAACAGGAAGATCATCCCAGGCTATGAAGTGTATCAGAGGGCTTTTCTCACTCAGGACATGAATTCAACCCACCAGCTTGAAGGAAGGACAGGGCTCTTTCTATCCACACTGCAGCTGCCTATCAATGAGAAAAGAGTCTCCAAAGCCAACCCAAGGCAGCAGATGAGAGCTTTGAACTGTGCTAACCGGCCAGAAGGTGGGTGCAGCCTGGAGAATAAAGGCAGACCCTCAAGCGGCTCGGATCCAGGATGTAGCTGAAGATGAGGCCTGGGTTTTGTCTTGTTTTGTTTTTCTCTTGACTATTAAAACGTCTCCCGAGCTCTCAGGGTCCTAGAATCCTAGATGATGCCACGAAGCTGGAAATTAGCATTCTGTTCCAAATATACTGGGGCACATTTGCTGCAGGGGTTGAAATGATGGTTTTTAATAAGCTGGCTCCAAGCACCTGTCACCAGTAATGGAAATTTTTGCCTGGGAAGATATATCGATTCTTGTTAACAAGACCATGAGGTAATAAATTTTCTAAGACTCAACTAAGCTTCCAAATCGGGACTCAGGAGAACAAATTCCATCTTCAGGCACTAACCCTTAGATCCCTGGTCCCTGATAACCCTGACCACTGATCTCAGTCAGGCAGCCCATCTCATTGCACTTGACTTTTGGGGGGAGTTTGGGGGTAATTTACAGAGGAATGGATAGCTGTGACTGAGACCCACCTGGGACTGGGTCAGTGGAAGACTAAGAATTACCCCAGCTGAACATCTTGATGCTCTGCTGCCAGAAAATCCAGGGGACGATGATATCATTAAACAAGACTGAGAAATCCAAGTCAATGCAATCAGATCCTCTGGTCTGCGGATGCTTCCGTCTCCTAAATCTGACAGCTGTGAGAAACCGAGTGGTGTCTAGATGACCTGACTCTTGGAACACCACCTAGCTGTTGAGGTTAAATTTAGCTACTGTGTAATATAGACTTTCTCTAGTAAATGAACAGATTTAGATGCCAAGAGACAGGTTCAAGAGTAGTCACAGGGCCAGTGAGGTGAGGGCAGGCACACACACACATCAAAGATGTAAAGACAGGCAAAACAAATCAACGTCAGCAGGAATAGGAACTGCTGTTACCTCTGGAATAGTATACTGGAAAGGGGCAAGGCAGCATGATCAGGGGCCAGGGAACATTCTGGATTTTGTACTGAACTGTGATTATGTGGGTAAATATTCATAGGTAAATATCTGTGAAGCCACACACTTAAAATTACTGTGTACTAGCGTCATGCCTCAGAAAAGGGAGGGGGCTTTTAAAAAATAAAGACACCCAATGTGTGTGTGCGCACACGTGCACACACATGTGTGGGTTAGAAATATATAGATAGAGGTACTGGGGGTGGAACCTAGAGCCTCATGCATGCTTGGCAAGCACTATACCAACCGAGTTCCCCCACCAGCTCCATTGATGGACCTTTGTTTTCAACACTGAAAGTCATTTCTGATATTCTTTCTCATAAAACTTAAAAACCCAGCTTTGTCTTGACCCTTGATGAAAATGGAGGAAGATGACGACTGTAAATCGTTAGCCCTGGAAGGGAAAATGAGA